CCCCCTCCCAATCCCTCTTAAAATACTCCCTAAGGAGAGACATTAACTGACTTTCTATATTTCCATTAATACCCATTTGTAATAATGCTTTTAACAAGCTAGCTTCACACTAAAGCTTCAGCATAATTAAATTTTCCTAAATCATATGCTGTTGTTCCTTCAAATCAAGTATGACAAGATGGCAGTATTTAATTAGATTATGATGGACAAGGTCTCAAGTACTCACATTGGTTCCAGTCGTGCTGTCAACCAAGACTTCAAAGCTTCCACGTTTTGTATTTGCATTGTATTCCAAGCTAGCAATTATTTCCGTCTTCTATAAATCAAAAGTTATAGTCTTCTGATCCTTTACCAAAGAAGTACTCCCTTCAACAGGCAAGGCTACAAACACTCATCTTTGTTGGCATAAACTCCATTAAATCCTCTCAATAATCACTTAAAATGTTCAATCGTGTGTCTTTTCATGAATGACTAACTAACTAGTGGCTCGTTTAGATTGTTAAGTTAATAATATCGATACAGAATAAGCCGTATTCACCTTACAGACACATGACCACCATTTTGTTTTCTTGCACGAGGTACAGTGGAGTGGGGATTGAGACGAGTCAGCAACTGGACCATATCTTGAAGGCCTTGTCTATCATGGTTATTAATGTCCCTATAGTCAAAAAAGCAACTATTTGGGCAGTCATGATTCAAAAATTTGAAGAATATTAAACAAAACACATCATTCTATATTTACATCTGATTTACTTTAAAGTTTTGACCAAAAATTGAAATGGTTTTTGGAATAATAAAAGGCCTTTGAAGTACCTATTCCCAGTCCTCTCTCGGTAACTTTTCCCAAGTATCATTGCGGGCTTAGAACCACACTTTGTGCCGCCAAAAAAGCTGTACATAACTTTTTGCCGGGGAATTCGGTTTATACAAAGAAAACCTTCTCATATCTTACTCGAAAATCATGCCTACAGACGACAATACTTCAACAAGTACTGGAAGTCCAGCAGAGGCGGTAAGAATATGAAATTCTGCTCAATTTGAATATATTTTATGCGACTTCATTTAGCGTCAAAAAGTTTGATCTTCATGTTACATTTTCGCGGGAATCTTGTTCTAAAACGAAAATTATTTAAAAAAGAGACTTCAGCTTGTTGCAAAAAGTTTGTTTTCAGTGAGATAAGAGGTTTGCGTCACTCTCGTAGTATGATACCGAGTAATATGCAGGGTTTATTGTAGAGAGTGGCGCGATAGATGTATCCACCTCGTGAGATGTCGACCGGTCCATTGATTAAAACATGGAGCTCATTAGCATTTTGTCATCTCTATTGCAAAAACTTTACTTTCTTTTTTCTTGTAATTGTGCTGTAGCCAGAGGAAGATAATGATGAAGACTATGGACATAAAGCAAGTTCATCTAAAAAGGCCAAGCCAGTTCCTGTATCACAAGAATACCAAGAAAAAATTGTAAGAAAAATAATATTAAATCATATATAGATGTGCATCTAATTAGAGGGTCTTAATTTAACATAGAAGTATCAACTAAAGTGACACATTTTTCTATATATTCAAGGAAAAGGATAGGACAACAAGGTTTAACTATTTGCTGAAGCAAACTGAGATTTTTGCTCACTTTATGGACACCACATCTGGACGTAAACAACCAACAAGCCCTCTGAAGATGAAAACACCACAGTTTCCCTCAAGAACCAGAAAGCTGTCAGACTGTGGAGAGTATGAATATTTTCTTTCTAAAGCTTGTTTTTTATTTTCATAGTCTTTGCTTTCAATAATATATTCATTAACCACTAATGCACCTATCAGCGGCTTCCCCGTGGGGTCGACCCCCGGGCTGACCAGGGAGATTGTAAAAATTCATAAACAATGTTGATCATTTTTCCCAGGGGTAGGGAAGTTGTTCTTTTCAATGTCCCCTGGTCGAGGCATTCAAATCTACAATCTCCCTCATTTTGGTTGAAATTATTGTTATTGTATTTTGAAAACTGAACTCAACACGTAACCATGTGGCTTGCTCAATATTTCAGGTAGTTTTTCATTGAAAAGATTGGAAAAAAACTCTCATGAATTGAAGAATTCACATTCAAAAGTAAAAAAAATCGAGGTGCCTTTGAATAGACCAGTTTCGAATTCCAAATTACYGCTGTTTTCCTTGATTACAGACTCATTTGCACAGGGTTAGCCTCGTATCAGTGTCTAAATATTCACAAATACCAACGGTAAGGTAAAGAATGCACAACTTCAACGATACAAACACTTTGAAACTCGACGGACCTTGACTGGAACACGTGAATATTCTGCACAAACTCGAGGCTAACCCTGTGCAAATGAGTCTGTAATCAAGAAACACAGCGGTAATTTGGAATTCGAAACGGGTCTATTCGTATCTTTGAAACAACAAAGAATGTCAAAAAACATACTTCACGGTGGAACTCTCTCGCCTAGTCAGCCATCTTGACAAGCAGAGATGCATCTGGGTATTGGCAAATAGCACAGGTTACCCAGCCCGACCAAAAACGTCCGTGGTCTAAAAAATTTTTAAATCAGGAGCTATTTCTTTAACTAGAGAGTAAAATCAATCCCCCTGGTGACCTCTGCAATGAAAATAATTTCATTACAATCCCCCACCTCAGTTTTTAGCCACGAGACCAATGTCGCAAATTTTCCCAACCCCAGGGGGAATAACTGGATCCAATCCCCCTATATTCTCCCACCCATCTCCCACCCATCTCCCTGGTCAGCCCGGGGGTCGACCCCACGGGAAAGCCGCTGATAGGTGCATAATGAGAACATATATAAGAACATATTTTTTATTATTATTAACAATGAATATTTGAATTTCAGTCATCGACATAGAAGAACTGAAGAGGAAGAAGATGCAGAACTTATCAGTCAAAACAAAACTTCTCAGACATCTGTTCTTTACTTTGAAAAGTCACCACACTGTAAGTCAATCATGATCATGGTTACCAAACCACAGGGAACCCAATTAGCTAATTTACAAATGGTGCTCCGAAATAAATCCAAGATTTAAAAAAAATTGAATCATTATAAATTTAGACATTTTTGGGTCATGTTCTATCAATTTATAATTATTTATGAGTATGAGGTGTTTAATGTGTACTGCTTATTATTTTTTCCTAGACATCAAGAATGGAGAAATGCGAGATTACCAGGTCAGAGGTCTTAACTGGCTGATTTCTCTGTATGAGAATGGAATCAATGGGATTCTTGCAGATGAAATGGTACAATTATTATATACTTATTTGATGTGGATGTACGAGTGGCTACGGTTTGTAATAAAAAAAAGTCTTCTAATTAAAGTTTCTTGTTTGATGTAATTTGTGCAGGGTCTGGGTAAAACTCTACAGACTATATCATTGCTGGGTTACATGAAACACTTCAGGAATGTCCCTGGACCTCATGTGGTTATTGTACCTAAGTCCACCCTGGCTAACTGGATGGCAGAATTTGAGAGATGGTGTCCAACTATAAGGGCTGTCTGTCTTATAGGCACACAAGAACAAAGGGTAAGTCATTAAGAAGAAAAAACTTTGTCAGCTCCTCCAACCACAACATACACGCCAAGGATACAGAAAGGGTACCTTACCCCTGTCTTTGTATACAGAAGTATACAGATCAGAGCAAGGGAAGTCCAATTTCTCTGGGTTGGGTTGGATTAATCTTGTATTTCACCATATAAATTTTAATTTACTTTGTTGCTTTTCTAGACGGCATTCATTCGGGATACATTTCTCCCTGGTGAATGGGACATTTGTGTCACATCCTATGAGATGGTCATAAGAGAAAAAGCTGTTTTCAAGAAGTTTGCTTGGCGATACATGATAATTGATGAAGCTCACAGGATCAAAAATGAGAAATCCAAGGTAAGGATGATATCACAAAATATCTGCCAAGGCTTTTATTGTGTTTGTTTTTAGGCAGACAGTTAAAGGCTTTTGTCCCTCCAAAGACCCCTCCAAAGATGAAGAGGTTGAGTTTATCTAAATGTACCATTTGTTTTCAGTTATCTGAAATAGTGAGGGAGTTACGATCAGCCAACCGTCTTCTGCTAACAGGAACGCCTTTACAAAACAACCTCCATGAACTTTGGGCTTTGCTGAACTTTTTACTTCCTGATGTTTTCACCTCTTCAGAGGTGAGTACAAAAGTGATAAACATAATATTTCCTACTCAATACTTTTTATCATAATATATTGTTTTCCTCTTGTTATTCAGGATTTTGATGCCTGGTTTAATACCAACAGCATTGAAGAGAAACAGCTTGTTGAACGTCTGCATTCTGTAAGGAAAATAAATATGAATTTGAAATTTTAAGAAGATTTATGAATTATTATTACCAAGAATGTGCTCTTTGTTATAGTTACATGTAGTTGTTATAACTTTTCAGGTACTGAGACCATTTCTTCTGCGTCGTCTTAAATCTGATGTAGAGAAAAGGTTGCTGCCTAAGAAAGAAATCAAGGTTTATGTTGGCTTGACAAAAATGCAAAGAAAATGGTAAAATACTTAATAAATTGAATCTAAAACTGAAGCCATTTCATATGCATTTATTTCTAAGACCATCTATTTGTTTCATCTAATATTGTGTAGGTATACCAAGATCCTTATGAAAGACATTGATGTCGTTAATGGAGCTGGCAAGACAGACAAGATGAGACTTCTGAACATTCTTATGCAACTTAGAAAATGTTGCAATCATCCGTACTTGTTTGATGGTGCAGAACCAGGTGCATTATAAACTAAATATTTTCCACTCCATACAACTTTTACCACAGCAGTGCATACCACCCATGCATTTACAAGACTTTTGCATTTTAGGTTACTATTTCTGTGATTTCCATGCACGAGGGAATAATTATTATAGGTTTGTAACACCTCTCTTACCTGTTGTGTAGGTCCTCCATACACTACAGATATGCATTTGGTGGAAAATAGTGGTAAACTAAGACTCCTAGACAAGTTACTACCACGATTGCAGCAAGAAGGCTCTCGTGTGCTGATCTTTTCACAAATGACAAGGGTATTGGACATTCTGGAGGATTACTGTCTATGGAAACAGTATGAGTATTGCCGTTTAGATGGACAGACCCCTCATGAAGAAAGACAATCGTACATCAATTCCTACAACATGCCTAACAGTTCAAAGTTCATTTTCATGTTGAGCACAAGGGCTGGTGGTCTTGGTATCAACCTGGCAACAGCTGATATTGTCATTCTGTATGACAGTGACTGGAATCCACAGGTTGACTTGCAGGCCATGGTATGTGCAATATATACATTTTAAATTTTATCTGTACAGGTATGCTTAACTGTAAATAAACCTAATGACTTGGTGTTTATTGAGTTTACTTTCTTTTTAATAAAGGATCGTGCGCACAGAATTGGTCAAAAGAAACAAGTAAAAGTATTCAGGTTCATAAGTGAAAATACTGTGGAGGAAAGAATCATAGAACGAGCTGAGATGAAGCTAAGGTTAGATGCTGTGGTTATCCAACAAGGTAAGTTAATACTCAGTTTTTGTTGCTATTGTTTATTTGTGTCTCAATGAATGTGTTTTTCCTGTTATATTCCAGGTCGTCTGGTCGATCCTAACCTCAAGGTTAGCAAGGAGGAGATGTTAAGCATGATCAGACATGGTGCAGAAGCTGTGTTTGCCTCTAAAGATGATGACATTACTGATGAAGATGTTGATACTATCCTGCAAAAAGCAGAGAAGAAGGTAGGTGGTTCTTTCAGTAGCTGTCTTGTAGACCAGTGATTAGTGGATTTGAACATCGTGCTACATACAGACCCAAGCTAGAAGATTGATATTCTTCATTCATCTTATTGAAATCTAGACTGCTGAAATGGAAGAAAAAATGAAGAAGTTTGGTGAAGGATCTCTTAGAAAACTAGCAATGGATGCACCTGTTGAGAGTATTTTCCATTTTGAAGGTGAAGACTACAAAGAAAAACAGAAGGTATGATGGAAGTATTATCATGTGGATATAAATGAAATCAAGACTGGATAATTTATCTCACCTTTATCTTCTCTTTTGTAATGCAGTCAGGTGGATCTCTTCCTCGCTGGATTGAGCCTCCTAAGCGAGAGCGCAAGGCCAATTACGCAGTAGATGCATACTTCAGAGAAGCATTGAGAGTCAGCGAGCCCAAAGCACCAAAGGTTAGCTTAAGAATCAAATCCTATTTCTCCTGTTCAATTGCTACTATTGTATTTTTGTCATGGTTTCATCGGTACTTTTTTCCCCCATGGATAGGCTCCAAGACCACCCAAACAACCAAATGTACAAGACTATCAGTTCTTTCCACCAAGGCTCTTTGAACTTTTGGACAAAGAAATCTATGCCTTCAGAAAGAGCATTGGATACAAGGTAATTCTTAGAATATACATAGACATGGCTGCATTATCCTTTCAGCTTACCCCTTGTTACCTTGCTTTAGATGCCTCTGGACTATGATGATCCTAATGCAGAAGAGAACCGTAAGCAGGAACAACAACTTATTGATGATGCTGAGCCTCTGACAGAAGAAGAAGTTGAAGAAAAAGAACAGTTGCTGCAAGAAGTAAGTAATGAGAAAAAGAAAATAATGATGGCTGCATACAAGTTCACCACATTCTAAAACAAATCTATCAAACCCTTTGTAATGTAAATATAAAAGCTGATTATGATCGTTATTTAACTTAAGGGATTCACCAACTGGTCAAAGAGAGAGTTTAATCAGTTTATCAAGGCTATTGAAAAGTATGGTCGTGATGATATGGAAAGTGTTAGTCAAGAAGTGGAGGGCAAAACTCCTGAAGAGGTAAGCAGCAAATGTAGAATAAACTGTTCGTCTTAATGACAGTTACTGATCAATGATTATATTTGTTTTTGTGCAGGTTTTGGCATATGCAGCTATCTTCTGGGAGAGGTGTGATGAACTCCAAGATGCAGAACGTATTATGGCTCAGATTGATAGAGGAGAGAGCAAGATTCAGAGGAGGATCAGTATAAAAAAGGCTCTTGATGCAAAGGTTAGATACAGCATGTTACATTAGCTATTAATAACAAGACACTTACTGATTGGTTGATTGTACATTAGATGTCCAGATATCGTTCACCATTCCATCAACTACGAATCCAATATGGCACAAACAAAGGCAAGAATTATACAGAAGAAGAGGATCGCTTCTTGGTGAGCACAACATACTGTATTAACTAATTATAGCGCAGTACTGATGAAAGAATGTGTTGTTCCAGAAATTATCCATGTCCTCCCCACAGAGGAATTTTTTAAAGACCCCTACCCCCAGAAATTCTAATTTTCTGCCATACAAACTGTATTTTTGTTCTTTCTACTGTAAATTCCTCTGTGTGTGTGGGGGGGGAGGGGGGGGGGTTGGGTATAAATAATTTCTGGATCAACACAACAGCCATCAAGTCTATTTCTTTTATAAAATACATATTATGATAACCTTTTTTTTGGATAGGAATGACACAAATGATAGTGTGCATGCATTGTGCTCTCATAAAGCACATTCTCCCAACCAATCAGAACGTGAGATTAACAAAAGTTATTTTATATTGTGGTTTCATAGATTTGCATGGTCCACAAGCTAGGCCTTGAAAAGGAGAATGTCTATGATGAGCTGCGCATGGCTTGCAGAAGTGCACCACAGTTCAGGTTTGATTGGTTTCTCAAGTCGAGAACAGCTCAGGTACTTCATACTTTTGATAAAGTACTGTGACTTTTAATAGGAATCCAATGATTTTTTATTTGAATATTTTTTAAGCTAACAGTCTGCATTTTTGTAAAAGGAACTTCAACGTCGTTGCAACACACTTATCACCTTGATAGAAAGAGAGATGATGGAACTAGAAGAAAAGGAAAAGGCAGAGAAAAAGAAACGTGGACGATCCGCAACACCTAAGGTATTACACAATATTGTTTAGTGCTTTTAGAGTGTGGCTAGATTACCAATTTATCAAATTTTGATCAAATCTGGTTTGTACAGCAGCTTAAGTGTTTACTGTTAAGGAAAACCTAACTCTACTTTTCAATATTTTAGACACCTCAAACAGGGGAAAAAGAAAAGAAGAGAAAAGCAGATGGAACTCCTGATGGAAGAGGAAGAAAAAAGAAGAAGTAGATCATCAAACGATGAGAAGTCTATCAGCTTAACATCAATTACCTAAGAAACTAACTTTTTAGTTGTTGTAACATATGCCATCATGTTATTCAAGATCTCTTTACATTGAATGCTTTGTTTTCTTGCACGAATATGGTAACTGCATTCAAACAAATCTAGCATCATATTTGTTCCATACTTAGATGGGGATGTGTGTAATAGGATTTGAAGGTAATACAGTATGTATTTCCTTAAGACTTCCCCAAAGAAATTTCCCCATTCTCCTTCTGTCGGCAGGTATGAAAAGTTGGAACTATACCTGGACTTAATAATGTACATGCAAGCATTCTGAACAACTTGGAATATTGTGACTAACAATTACATTTTTATTTGTTAATAGTGACTATTAAATTCGCTTTTTCTTATTGCTACTAGTCAGTACGCTTTGTTGTAATATTATTTTGATGTAAAGAAAGATCATTCATGTTTTGTAATATATCTGATTATCTGAAAAATAAATTGTTTTCCTATCTTTTCTTGTTTGGTTTGGAGGATTTTATAAATTCCTTTTCTAGACAAGCTACATTACTTATTCCCTGCTGGCAAGTCTGACCCTTGTTTGCAATTCTTATCCATTTTCTCTGCCAAGAGAATGGAGACTCTGCTAGCAAGCAACATTGCTTATGCCATGGGTAAGCCCTGTTTACACTAGTGAGTTTTGCGGCGATTTTTGCTGCAACTTTTTCAGTGATCCTGTCCATAATAAATAATGGTAATTTCTTGTAAAGTTTACCAAGATTTTACTAGACTAATGTCTCTTTTGAAGGATGAGACAAAAGATTTTATATTTCCGAAAATTGCCACAAAAATCGCAGTAAAAATCACAAGTGTAAACGGGGGTTTTAAGCCAAAACAAAATATGGGAGTGGATTGAAGTTTAATATCTTGAAAAAAATTTCATGTGTTCCAATGAAGGTCCATGAGATTTCAAATGGTTTGAGTTATTGAAGTTGTAAAATCTTTACTTTATGTTGGTATTTGTGAATATTCTGAAATGAGTACTGAGTAAATAAGTCTAATCAAGAAAAACAGCATTTGATGAATTTTAAGATGGGTCTATTTAACATCCTTATTGCAAGTGATCTTATATACCCCTAGATAATAAGCCAAGAAATAATTGAAAAAGAGCTGTCATTGCTCAATTAATCATAGAACTTTATTTCCAACAAAATTTCAAATGTATAGTATGTCCTAAAAAAGGTTAACCATCGAGGCTTCTTCCAAACTGATAAAAGAGCTTCAAATCTGAGGTAGGTCAACATTGCAAAGCTATTACAAGGAAATAGAATACTGTAGAATTAGCATGGATCATGTTCATCACGAAATGGTTTACCAGCTAGTACTGTTCTGATAAAGGCATTGACATCGATCAGCTGAATTATAACTTTTACTTTATCAGATAGTTCCCCCAGACTATCTGATGTCAATTGAATAAAGACCCTGGCAATAATATTCAGGCTCAAAAATATGTTTCACAGTTTATATTATTATTAGTGACTGTCCATTAAACAGCTGTTATGCGCACCATAAAACATGAACAAAACAATACTCAAATATATCTTGGTGTTCAATCCATAAATGTTTTAATACTCATTTCATAAATGTCACTGTCAGCTGATAGTTATCTTGTCCCTTAGTATCAATCTTTTCCATCCTTTCAAATATACCTTGAAGTTTATAATATTATGGCTTTAAAAGTTAATGAATTTTCAAGGTCAATCTGTTCATTTTTCTCATTAACAAGTCCATATATAATAGCGTTATTGACATTGAGCAACAACGTCATGTAGATGCTTCTGTATTCTGATATTTTGTTCTGTACCACTCCACAAACTCATCCATAAGAACAGGCCCTGCAATATTGCAAGTTAAAAAGGTGCAGATTAATAACAAACTTCTAAATTTATTGGCTGCCCTGAAACAACCTCCAAGGGTGTAGCCAGGGGGGAACGAGGATTTTATATGGTAATTTCATTGTTTTTAAACGTAAAATGTAATGCTGCTTTTTATATAGATTTTAGATATAGATTTTATTTTTGGTTTAGCGTTTCAGGTGGGGCGCAAACAAAATGGCGGATTTTTTATTTCCCCCCCTCCCCCCCTCCTGGGAAATCCTGGCTAAGCCCCTGACATTGGTTTAAAAGTTGTTTATTTCAATTTTATTCTGTAATAATCATTGTTACTTACATGCTCCATCTTCGTCATAGTTTGACAGATCTGTTGAAATTGATCGACTGAATTCCAAAACATTGCACCACTGGTCTCTATTAATCACCTTGTATTTTGATTGCTGTAAAAAATGACAATAATTTAGCCAGTTAGCATTTTATAAATATTAAGACATAAGTTGCAAACATCACCAAGAGAATGAAATATCAAAAAATATGGTTGTCGCATTTTCAACAAAAGAAACAAATAAAAACTAATATTGATGCATTCACTTCAGATCCTTGGCTCAACATACATATCACATTACTACTTTATTTACCTGCATAAATTCTAGGAAATGATCAATAAGACTCCATTTGCCGTTTAGAAGTACTTTTAACATAGCCATGGCAGTATCAATATCCAAGGTACGCTGCTCATGATTCTATGCACACAAACAATAGTAAAACATCAAAACAACTGGCAAGCTAAAACATCAAATTATAATCAACATTGCATTGAACAAGACATAATATTGAACCAAGACATTGCATTGAACAAGACATCGCATTGAACAATAATTCTCACTCAAATGCAGAGATCTACGGCAGTTTAACATAACTTACTCTGCAAAAGTCAAATGCATATCTGTATATTTTCTTAAAAGTTGGATTATCCCTTAATATTGTAGTTAAACTGCTCAGACGAGCTTGAAGCTTGGCTGTTGAATCACACCTTCATCAAAAGATATTAAGAACAGGTCATTCAGAATGTTTCAAACGCTTTCATTTTTAATTAAACAGATATTTCAAAATATTCTTACTCCATATTTCCCATTCCTTTGCTCCATTCATTGAATTTGAAGTAGCCTAATGTTTCAGCTTGTAATTTCCATGCCACCACCAGCATGACGACCTGAAATATATTGGTCATAGAATGTAATCAGTCTTTATACTAAAGGTACAAGGCCACTAGTTAAGTTCTAAGGATCTAGAAAGGGCTGGACTATCCATATTATAAGAACAGGTGTTCACAAATGCCCTGAGGGTTGAGACGTTGGGTTGAATCATTAAATCAAACAAAATAGATCAGTTTCTGGAATATACTGGAAGTAAAGAAAAACACATCTTACATTTTCTGGATCGACAGCCAGATCACGACACAGTTTCTCAATACCATCTGGACCTATTGTGTCTGGATCATCTTGAGCTACAAAATAAAATCCAAGGTTCATTCACACATCCTGTTTATTCCTAAGGGACAGGAGACCTCATTTATATGCCACCAGTATAATAGATGATGCTCTATAATTTATATAGCAACCTTTCTTTATGTATATAATCAAAGGYGCTTATATCATGATAGGTGGCTAGTGTGGGGRGTGTAGGCACTGAGGGTGGTCACTGCCAGGGTTTCTTTACATCCTCAGTGTGGTTCTTTTACGTCCCTCTGATGTTGGTTAGCAATAATAAGTGGAGAGACAAGACTACCATTTAAAGTGGTCAGCCAAACCACTTGAAAGTCTAACCATTTTGAACACGTAATTATGAAGGCAGAACTTTCTCCTCAGTCATCTTAAGACCCTGACTGTTTGTCTGGCCAGGACTTGAACCACAACCTCCCACTTTGAAAACCGACATGGTTACGAATTACGAACTGAGCTCACCAGAAAGAAGTGTAATAGACTTTTGTCTACACTTGACAACTAAATTTAAATTCTTAAACCCTCTAGCCTAAGTAATCTATACTTTAATTACCTGCATATTGAAGAAACCATGACCTGCACTTTCTCAGTGAAAATGGTTTAGATAAATCATCATCCTCCGTACATGCATGTAGGGTTCTAAGAGTAACAATTAGACATTATTTTACTGACCTCACTTCTCAAGAAAACATTAAAGATTTGTCAATCTGTGTTGCACAATTTAAATGTCTGGTTGGGAAGCATTGGTGGTGTATCAACACTACACCCCCTCTGGGGTCTAGAGTTTGATTCCTGACTTCTGCAATGCCTGATACCATATGAGGTACTTGTTGGGTCTCTTTTATCAGGGATTTTCAATCTGTGGTTCACTCTATAGGCTGGGTGAGTGTCAATAAAATTGATGGTTGTCAACTCACATATTGTAGCTACTCACTATAACAGGTAATGATTTGCAGGATTTGTCAACTAACTAATCTAAATGGGTTTACCACAAAAATGTAGAAGTTGGAAGTTGATTTTTATGGAGGGAGGAAAAACCGGAGAATCTGGAGAAAAAGCCTAAAAGCACAAGAGAGAACCAACAAACAGCTCTACTCAAGTAGGTCATTGAGAACTGTTGGACTCAAATCTGGGTTGCTTGTTGAGAGGTCAAGTCCTGGAATCAAAAAGCTTACCTCACTTTACTATCTTCTTTGGATTTTTTACTCTTTGTTTCATCTCGTGATGTCTTTCTTTTTCTTTTTGCTGGCATATCACCTGTTTTTCTTGGATCCGTATTTATATGCTTCTCATTAACTTCTGAAGGCAATAAAGCATTCATGAGGCTAATTATCATATCTAAATTCAATGAACTCATTCAAACCCGTGTTTTAGCAAAAGCTCAGTAAGTGAGCAGTGCAGTAGTAATTATTTAATTTTTTTTGATATTATCACAATAATAATCTGCTTATACACTCGATGATACATACACTTAACATATATAACACCGATATCATTATTTCCTTTCAACTGCGCATGAAAAAACAACAGCAATGGATCAGGAAAAAATATGTTTGAAACAAAAGGATAACATATTTATAACATCAATCATGGATTAAAACATTGAAAATGAAGTCTATCTTCCTAGCTGTTGATAGGCTCCAACATTTATTCTGCATTTGAAAAAAGACGTTTTCGTTTCTGTAGCGTTTATCTCTTGACTTTGTTATAATGAACAATGACAGGGGAGCAACTAGATTAAATTGCTCCCATTAACATGCACTCTCAGGTCGACAATGCACGATGACTTCTGTTATAGGGCGTCTTACGATTGAATATCAATTCTCAAACCTATCTAGTATCCAGTCATTTAAAATCTGGTCAATAAGAGCAAAAACAGCAACATTTGCGGTAATATTTTGATGATAACGTAAACTATACAAGCAAGAACGACCAAGGCACGTTACAAAACACGCGATGTAAAAACACATGAATCTTTGACTTTTAACACAATAAAACTACCCATTACACTAGCCTTACAAATAAGCAGGATCTTGGATACTAGGATTACCTGTAATGTTTAAATTCGTGTATGTTTACGAATGTTTTTCAGTGTTTTTTGTCCATTCATTCATGAACGTTTGAATGTCTTTGCTGATGGATGCCGGGACTTGGTAACCACTCGACACTTGCTTCGCTTGTTGGACAAAAATTTGCGCACGTGGGTTTGCCTCGATGTCAGGCTAATCTTTTTTTTTTACTTTTTTCCTCCTTTTCGTTCATTCTTTCTTTCTTTATTCTTTTTTCAGTCATTCCTTCCTTTTCAGTTTTCTGTTATCTATTCATTTCGGTATATTCTTTTCGTTTATCTACTTTTCTATTATCTCTATTTTGCCTCCAAATTTTCTACAGCGAACAATTTACTTTACTTCTATCTAGCCTTTCTTTCTAGTTTCTTATTCGTTCATTTTTGACAGTGTCAGACGTCCCACTTTTATGTTTCATTCGCTCTATCTTTCATAGTTTCATTATTATTTTTTTCAGATTTTTCTTAGAGTTTCCATTTGTCATTTTTCTCTTTCCACAACTTAGAATTGATCAAAAAACAAGCTCAAAGTTTGGACAATAAATAAATTAGCAAGCCGGAAGAATTTTGAGTTTTAAACCGATTTTAATCATATGTCGAAGCGGGGCGTCGGTCTTGAACATCCTACGCAAAGAAACTTTTTCGTGCAGTCTTTCTCGCGCGTCCGTTTTGCTGCTTGTTAGAAAGGCATTCAAAATGAAACGTTCTCAACTAAAATCACTAACTGAATAAATGATTTTCTTACCTGAGCTGTTCGTGGTTGTCTTTTTTACACGACTTGTATTACCGCATTCGTTAGAGGTGGCTGGATTTTCATTGAGGATGATATCAGTCTGTTTGCTAGTTGATGGTGTGCTGGAACTGCTGGGTCTAAGATTGTCAAAACTGAGCCTCCGTTCATCGTCTGACCCATTTTTAGCGATGATAGATTTTTCATCTGTAGATAACTGAGTTGTTTCAACAGAATTAGATGCAAGTTGTTGGTCATTTAGCATTTGTGAGGAAGACGACTCAGTTTGCGCAGTTTCTTTACTTGAAGGGTCCATCGATAATTGGAAAACGTGGCTCTTTATGATCCTAAAAACTCCTCTGCGATAAACAAAGAGAAAAACCAGGCCGAACATGATGAGCCTTCGAGGAGTGAAAGTACTGGCTATCTTTGTTAACCACGTCCATATGACTTGCATCACTGATAGAATAAACGAACCTAAAAACCCTGGTCACGTGATTCCATAACACTGACGACGTCATAACCGATGGTGCTTACGTTATACTGTAATTAACAAATAAATTAAAGGTACTATTACGTCACAGAAAGTCAAGCTTAATTGCCATAATTTTTTAATTAATTTAAAGGTAGAACATAGAAAATTAGTTCATCATGTAGCTCTAACCAGATTTTTACTCGTAGATAAGTTACGTTCATTAGGGAGTTTACTCATTCTAGGACTATATCTTGAGCACCTGATCTTAAGTTAATTGAAGAAGGTTGTTTTTTTACATACGTAAGAATTACGCACACTAGTTTGATCACAGTCGTCAGTGTTCAAGGAAGGACATTCCAACATGTGTAATGATTGGCTCAAACTATAAGAAAAACCTGCTTGTTAAAAAAAGCTTGACAGCTGTGTGCACGTGCTTTACTGAGAGGATCGACGATTGATATACATATTGGTAATATCAAGAAACGACTTTCGTTTTGGGACGTGACCAATTACAGTGAATCGTGTAATAAAGATAATTAAGTATTCGATTTGCAAATTATGAATACGACCTTTAGAGATAATTCTTAATAATTCTAATTTGTATTAAAACTAATTTCGAAACTATCTACTTCTATTTTTTCTATTTTTATTTCCATTCGTTTTTTCTTTCCTTTTCTCTTCCTTTCCATTTTCTTTTTTCGCCCTTTCGGGTTTTCTTCTCAGTAAAGTGCGCAAAGCATATTGGGTAATGTTTTGGATCATATTATGGTCTGTTCCCGCCAAAGTCTCCAACAAGTTTGATCTTATAGCATCTGTTGTAATCGAAAAAATGCAGCGTGAAGGTTCAAAAAAAGAGGAACTCTTACGGCAGCTAAAGGTAACCACAGTTCAAGGACACTTAGAATAGATGAATTCTTAACTTTATCATCAGTCATCATCATGATTATTTTAAATATTTAAACGAATATCATCAGTGACAGCAGCTGTGGCGAAGGTTCCCTCGAGTTCGGGACATTCGATGGTTCTTTGCAAACTCGTTTAGAGTAGATCAGTATGTTTTTAGCTACAGATTGATGTTGTGGAAATTATTAATGTATATTTTGAATGATCGTGATTCGCTTTTACATTCTTTTGTAGTATACTATATGATATGTTATAGTTGATCACATTCAGCTTGCTTCCAGGGACCCAGGCCTTCATAAACAATGCGTTGTCTGCCCACAATATTTTCTAGATTTTTTGAAATTTCATAAAAGAGAGAGCTAATTTTTAGGGAGATCATCTAAATGTCTTCGTTTCTAATTCAAAAGTTTAACACATCTGTTATGCAAATTTTATTTCCAATTCTGTATTATTCCATGTATAAACAATGATGTCTGATGCGCTAAAGTAGTTATAGTCTTGAGAGACAAGGTAAATATTCCCCATATTCACTGAGTCTGAGTTGAATACTTGTTTTAGTCTAATTTTAGACTTGAATATCTGAGAAAAGATGAAATTCTGGATTAAGAACATTTTAGTATTACTTCTGGTCAGGCAAACTTTGTGAAACCCCATAATCACTGCTTGAGCAGTGAATACCATCTTCTCATAACTACTGGTTGCTTGAGACCAATCATAGCATGCAAAACTCTATATCAAGTCTAAATTATGGTAAAGGATATTATTTCTTGGCTAAGAGTTTATCTTTGTCCTTTCTCAAGGCTTTAGCCGAGGAGCTTACTAATGCAGAGCAGACAAGTGCTGCTGCCAAACAGTATAATGAAAAGGCTGCATTTCTTGCCAGCCCTCTTGTGCTAAAACACAAAGACAAGGGTGTTCGTCTGTATGCTGCTTGCTGTCTGGTTGATATCCTAAGAGTTTATGCCCCAGATGCACCGTTTGATAAAGACCAGATGTGGGTGAGTACCTTATCTCTATGGAAGGCCATGAATTAATTGATTTTATGTTTCAGAGTATTATAACCTTTTTTTAATAATTATGTAATGAAATATTACTGGTCCAAATGACTGGTAAGACAAAGATTTGACTAGACAAGTTCCAATTCTGGCCGCTTAATTTATGCCTTGCACGATACTAAATCAATGATATTTTATGATCTATTTTTTCAGGATGTGTTTTCGCTGATTATCAGCCAGCTAAGAGCACTAGAACATGGTCCAAAAGGAACAAACTACAAAAAGCATTTCTATATCCTAGAGGTTTGTATTCATTTACATCTTGTTCTCTTTTGCTTGTGTACATATTTATTCGTATTAGCTACCTTATATATCTCTTTTTAAGGATTGCTCTTCAAACAACTTTGTTTCTTTTTCTTTAACAGAGTCTTGCACTAGTGAGGACCTTCAATATCTGTACAGAATATGATTTTCAAGATTTAATCTTAGAACTCTTCAAACTTCTTTTCAGCGTAGTAAAGTATGTACCTTATTATTAGTTGATATACATTCAACATACATGTTACGATTTCCATATTATGCAGGAATCCATCTTGAACGCACCTTCGAACCCACCTATACACGAGCCCCTGGTTTGGGAGAATTGGGCAACCAATTCTCCATGTTATCAAAGTAAAACCTTATTGTTACCTTCTTACTCTTCAAATAATATATTATATTATTATCATATGATTTTGAAATCTGTGTATCAATTTGCTGACAGTGATAGCCACACGGTCAAGGAACAAACGTTTATGGTAGAGATAATGGGTCATATATTTGAAGATAGTGAATCTATATCTCAAGAACTACTGGATACAGTTCTTATTAACATCATTGAGCCACAAAAAGTAAGGATCTTAAATATTCTATTAGGTTGTTTGGGCTTCCTGTGTTAAATATAAGGCTAACTCTGTATTGTGTAGTTCCAGAAATTATCCATTACCCCCTCCCCCCCTCCTCCACAGAGACCCCCTCCTTCACAGAGACCCCCTCCTCCACAGAGACCCCCTCCTCCTCCTTGCCCCCAGAAATTCCAATTTTCTGCCATACAAACTCTGTAATTTGGGAATGGGGGGGGGGGGGTATGGATAATTTCTGGAACTAAATTTTTATATATTAGTCACTCTTTCATCAAAATCATCAGTATACATTGATAGAGAAAGAGAATTACTACATACATTGAATATCACAAGAAAACACTTACTTGATTTTTTTCCATTTATTACCAGAGTGAAAATCCTGCAGCTTATAAAGTTGCTAGTAATGTTATCAAAAAATCATCTACAAACATTGAACCATTCATACAAATGGTAAGATCAATCCATATTATCATTCACTGTTGTAATGATACTCTTATTGATATTTTGTCTGTGTCTCTTAGTTCTTTAACAGTGTGCTCACTTTGGGCAAGACTTCAGAAAGTGACTTGGCAGAGAAAGTATATGAACTCATCCTGGAACTCAACAGAATATCTTGTCCAGTTCTCTTGTCTGTTCTACCACAGTTAGAATTTAAACTCAAGGTTTGTATTTCAGTTCATGGAAATCAAGGGTGGTATTGTGGTAGTGCATTTGACTATCACTTCTAGGGTCTCAGATTTGATTGCCGCCAAGTACCATCTTTGAAGATAAATTGGAATTAATACTATATACTTTGCTAATGCTATCTCTGGCTCACTCTTTTATCAGCCCAGTATGCAGTTTACATTATCGGGTTTAGAATTGTTTTCTTTTTTGATAGAGTCCGGATGTTGAGGAAAGACTAGCAGTGACCAAGCTTCTTGCACAAATGTTCTCTGATCCAGCATCTGATCTTGCAACAGAGAACAAGTCCTTATGGAATTGTTACATTGGAAGGTAAGTGCAATAACGATGTAGTGTTATTACTCTCTTGCATCACACCACTAGGGTTGTGTTTTGATTCCTGGACTCAGCATCAGATGTGAGTAGAGATTGTTGGTTCTCTGTCTTAATTCCACAATTTCCTCCCTCTACAAAATCTAAATTCCCTGACTTTGATCAATCTAGATGTTGTTAATCAGGTTTGGATAAAAATTTGAAGATTTTGAAGGAAACAAGTTAAGATGAAATATTGATTTTTTTAACAGATACCATGACATTAATGTTGATGTGAGAATAGAGTGTGTCAAGGAAGCAAAGCATTTCTTGTTACATCATCAAGAACTTGCTCAAGATATCACAGGTGATTTGATTTGATTATCTTTCATCGAATTGAAATCAAAAATATAAAATGATGCCAAGATGATGGTGATAATGATGATATGAATGATGCTGATAGTGTTGGTAAAAAATGATGGTGAAAAATGATGAAAGCGATGAATAATGATGCTGGTTGCCATGGTGATGGTAATGGTGTAATGAAATTGATATTGGTGGTTATTGAAATTATCGCTATGGTGATGATAATATGGTGGTGATATTTATGGGGAGATTCTACATACCAAGCAGATGGTGTAATGTATTTATAGAAATAAAATGAATCACACGTAATATGATAGACGACAACTATAGAATACAATAGATTTTCTGAACAACACATTACATGAACTGAATGCTATGTAGTTTTTCCCAATATTTATGTTATGATTATAAAGCTAGTAATGGTGTGTCATCTATTTTGCTTTTCTTTAATTAACTAGAAAAACTTTGCAGTCGATCAAGAGACCCAGATGAACGAGTAAGACAAGAAGTGGTAACAGTTACTTGTGAGGCTGCAGTAGARAATATCAAATGCATTTCAGATACAGTATGTCATTTTCTTGTATTCTTTCAATCTTTATCTATGGGCTACCTGTGTCTTCACGTCTACCACAGACAGCCCAAACTATCATATACAATACATTACTAACATCCCTCTTTTCTTTAGTTATTTGATGAAGTTTGTGAAAGAATGAGGGACAAAAAGGTATCTATATACATGCTTTAATATTTATTTAATAAATAAATATTTATAGATTAAAGCAAGTTGTCAACTTTTTAGACCAACAACCCAAATGCTTGGGCTTCCTGTGAAAATGTGATTACAATATTTCTTAGATTGCCTTTCTTTGATATTTTTCAGTGGCATGTCAGAAGAGAGGCCTTGACTTGTTTAGGAAAGTTATATAAAAAGTGTACTACAGGGTAAGCTATTAGCCTGTAATGAATGCTGGGAGGCCCGTATGGGAAGCATGGGTGGTGTGTACTGCTATGCGATGCCTCTCACCAAGGGCTTGGTATCRTATGTGAGTAGAGTGGTTTGCTGGTTCTCTTCCGTGCTTCAAAGACTTTTCCCTTAGGTTCTCTGGTTTTTCCTCCCTCCAAAAATCAACTCCTAAATTCAAATTTCATCTATCGGCTGCCTTATCAGTTGGGCTGCAAAATCTGTTAGGCATTACATCATCCACCTAAGAGTGGTAAATGCATTAGAGGATAAGACAAGAAATGTCACCCAGTCTTAGTGACCAGAGGTCCCAGGGACCCATGATTTTCACTACAACTGAGTATAGACCCCTTGATTTCCTAGAGGAATTGTTCTGGGGGACAAAACAATAGGCTGTCTTTTCATATGCAAAAGAAATCCATTGTTTTGTCCCCCAGAACAATTCCTCTAGGGCCTCAGTGCAAGGGGTCTATAGAATCTTTTCCTACTAGAGCTTTTAATATAACTTGTCCTTGACAGTGTTTTCTTGTATCATTTAATAAGACCCACAGCTGATCCTCAAGCATCTAAGAAATTATCCTGGCTTCCAAGTAAATTACTAAAGGGTTACTACCAGAACATGGTTGAAGACAGACTATGTGTGGAAAGAGTGTTATCAGGATGTCTGGTTCCTGTCTCACTTCAGACCCAAGAAAGAATGAAGCGTTTAATGTCAGTCTATACAAAACTTGATCATCATGCTGTCGAGTAAGAACAAAATACTTATCAACTAGAGATTTATATATTGTTTCAAAACCAATTCAAATAACATTAGAGATTTATATATATTTTTTAAACCAATTCAAATATTATTATTAATTTTTCGTTTGCTTCTTCTTTTGTAGGGCATTTAATATACTATTAAAGTGCCAGTCAAAGTAGGTTAATGAAATGATACTATTGCTAATTGTTAAACTATTTATTGGTACTGAAGCAAGGAGTAAAGTTTCCATGGCGCGTCACCTCTGCTTGGTCTTTATTTTTTTTTGTTTTCATTTCACAGTGTACGAGCAGATCTTGCTGCATTAGTGGAACTATCTGAAAAGGAAAAAGTAAGGAATATATCACTAATCAGTAATTATTTCTGGGTATATCAGATAATGGTATATTTATCATTGATATGTACTCTTTGTCCATTAGACAGAGGAAAATAACTCACTGATGATGTCCCATGTGATTACCCTAGCAAGTAAGTACAATACCTGCCTTTTATTGATGGATTGAATTATCCTTAAGTCATATATAATGACACTGTTATTATATATATATRTGTCTTGGCACCCTAGGGGCATTGCCGGAGCCTTTTAAAGCCCAAGAGAACCTAAAGAAGTTACAATCCATGTTAGTTGAGGCCAAAACAAGAGACCTTTTTAAGATCTGCATCAATCCTGACTCAGGCTGTCCTGCTGTTTTCAAGGCTGTGGTACGTTAACTCATTTATTAATACAGTGGTACCTGTATTACACCTTCACAACTTTGTTTGTTGTCTGCTGAATAAAGTGTGTCTGCTGAACAGAAGTTTGTTTTAAAATATATAAAAAAGTTTAAGACTGTGCTAGTATTTATGCAGTTGTCTCAGCTTAATAAAGGTATCACTGTATCATTTTGCTGACTTACATCTGTTGACAGGCAGTACTACAACAGCAACTGATTCAATTATATTTTTGCTGTTGATTCTTAATCGTAGAGTGATATCGTTGTGAAGCTTGGTTCAAGGAACCATATCTTGGAGACTGTCAAGGCTCTTCTTGACCGAGCAGCTCCAGTGATGGTCGACGCATCATGTGTAAAGGTTCTTCTGTCAATTGTTAAGAATATTATTGAAGGCTTAGGAGAAGAGGATGACGAGTTTGACGAACAGGATGATTCTGACACCACTAAAGTCATCAAAGGAATGAAACTACTTGTTGTAAGTACGAAGGGTAATAATCTGAACTATGCCCCAGATGCTCAGTTGACTGGCTGTCTGCCATTTTTTTAAAAACTGTTGCCAATGCAATGGATGTGTGATGGTGGACTGTCATTGGAGTAGTTGTGGGATGTCAGCTGACAGTCGGCAGGGCATCTGGGGCACCGCATATTATCAGTACAAAGTATGAATGTATTGGAAATTTGTCAGGCATATGTTCTGTCTTCATAATCATCATCAAAACAGATTGTGTAAGATCACCTACATTTTTTCCTGTCTGCAGGTACTATCAGGGATATTCCCTTCTCATTTTAAGAATACTGAATGTTATGAAACTCTTTTGGTCCTTTTGAAGCATCAAGATCAAGAAATAGGTATCTAAGAAATATGTGTTGCTCAACAATATTTTCTTTATAGAATAATACAGTAATGAGACTAAGCCAAGCAGCACTTTCATGTGGCTTGAATGGTCACATAAAATAACGGTCCCTTGTCTTCACGCTACCTCACCTGCAATTGAGGAACATAAAAGAACCATTGACGACATAAAGAAATCCTTGCATTGACCGGCCTCAGTGTCTGACCTTTACTAATGATTTCTTTATAGGTAGATTGTGGGATAGGTGTGAGGATTTTAAAGGGTTCAAAGATTGATGGACCCTTCGAAGGAGACCCTTCATGTGCAGTACCAGCATCTGGAAAAACTCAAATGATACCAGCTAACAGCTGTCATTCAAGTTAACTAACCAATAGTTTTCTYGTATTTCAGTTAACTATGCCCTCCATATCTTGAGCAATGTTGGCGAAGGAATGGAATCTGTAGACAAGGAGGTTGTACAGTAAGTATCCCATCCACTTTCTCTTCTCTTATCCCATTTGCCCAGACCCATTCCTATTATTCTATGCCATGAATCTATACATTTTGATGAAAAAACCCAAAAGCCCTTGGACATTTCTAATTTGTTCAGACCTTTCCAATGCTTCCCATTTCCTAATCATATCTCATTCCCATTCCCACCTATCGTAAGGTCATTTGAAGTGTAATATTTTGATACATTTTCCAGGTATTATCAACCAGTGCTTTCAAAGTTTGCATGTAAAGGAACCCCTCAACAAGTTAAATATGCCATGAAGTCAATATCAAAGATCTTTAAAGACCCAACATCGTTGTTTGAGAGAATATTTGCTGTAAGTACGAATGTCATGAACTGCATTTTGACATGAACTAAAGCACATGTTAGATAGATGCTTTGTGGTCTGAAATGGAAAAACATTACGCCCAAGGTGAAAAGGTCTATTTTGAATTTCATCAGCCCAGAGGTTGGTTCAGGGTTCAACAAGGTTTTAACTTGAAGGTTACTAATGATTGAGTTTCTGTTGTAGAGGGTTCTGGAAAACTTAGATTATGATTATCCATTGCTCTTGTCCCACCTGACGGCACTGGCCCAGATAGCTGTGTTAGCTCCAAGCATCTTYGAGACAAAACAGAAAGCCATCATCAGAGACTTTGTGGTCAAAGAACTTCTGGTTAAAGACAGGGTATGCATTTACTTGACTATTAACGTGGTGTGAAAGAATATTACTTGAATGTGCTGTGAGTTATTTCAAGAAGTAAAATAAATATTTGGTTTTATCTGAGTTCAGAGCACGGTAGAAGAGTCTGATTCACAAGGAGATGAAGAATGGTGTGATGACTGTGATGTTACTAGAGAAACTCAAGCTAAGGTAAGAAAAAAGCTATGTACTACACCTTTTGATGCCCATTAATATAGAGAATGTCATTAATACCAAAAAGATTATCTAGYAATGAACAGAAAAAGGTGTACTACCAAGCTATGGAAAAGGTATTTCTAAAGGAGGAAATGAAAAATTATTAAGGCCCCGTCCACACTATGCTGGATAAATTTGAATCCGAATTTTTATTTTTTCGGTTTGGCCTACTGTCCACACTAGTCCAGACAATTCACCGAAAACGAATTTTTTCGAATACGGTCTCCAGAGTGGAACAATTTGAAAACGCTGGCTAGCTGTATTAGTGTGGATGGAAAACTTTTTTTTCAGTTTCGGTTTGAAAATTCAGATTCAAATTTATCCGGCATAGTGTGGACGGGGCCTAAAGTAGGAAGACAATAAGTGAAACTAAAAAGGCATAATTGAATATCGGAATAGAGGAACAATAAAATAAACTAATAACTGGAAGGATATCCTCGTTTTCATCAATTTTCTTAAAGTAAGTGAATCTAGCTGAGGTTTAAAAAAGTTTGTCAATGCTCAATATGACAAAAGCATTATCACTGATTGGTCTAGGTGAAAGGAATCAAACTAATGGTGCGATGGCTGCAAGGGTTACAAGGTAACCACATGAACTCAGCTTTACCTGTACTAAGATTGTTGTGTACACTGTTAGCACATGGTGGAGATCTGCAGAACAACGGCTGTGTATGGTAAGTGGCATTGTGTTATCTATCAATAAACAGCTCTTAACTCTTGCSACAGTTTTCTATAGTAACAGGGTTTTGTTGTGTTAATTATTCTCAGCTCTCATGACTGTTCTCGTCTGCGATTGGCTGCAGCTTGTGGTATACTGAAAATTGCTCAAGAGCTTCACTATGACGAGGTCATTGCACTTGARCACTTTCAACAGCTTGCCCTCACATTGCAGGTATTATGAGTTTTTACTATTCTAACACAAAATGATACTTCAATACTTTACTTTTACTCAAAATTATCTTAATTCAAAATGTCTGTATTTTTTAACTTGCAACTATTCTTTTTTGAAGGATTTTTGTGTTGAAGTCAGAAATACGTTCACCAAAAAGCTCCAGAAGGCATTAGAATCTCTTAAGCTTCCACTAGAATACCTGGGGATATTTGCATTAGCTGCCTCTGAGACTGACAAGGACAGGAAAGCTAAGGTATGATATGATGTATTCACTTCTAAACCTGCTGCACAACCAGGGTAGCACAGAGCTTGTGCTTGACATGTGACTTGGGCTTATATAAATATGTGACACTTGAATTTTTAAAAACATTATGGAATGAAACCTGATACTGATCCCCCTCTAATTCTGTGCTACCCTGCACAACCTGATTACATTTGCTTCTCTCCGTCTGCATTTAATCAGATACGGCAGATGATTTCCAGGAATGTTACCATCAGACGAGAATACCTCAAACACCATTCAGCAGCGCAAGGTAGGTTTTCTTGTTTCTTTGTTGTTTYTTTGTGTGTGAATCTTGTGCCTCTTTGTTCTAAGGAAATGTAATATTCCTGTTTTTCAGCATGTTCACACTCATTGTTACCAGAGTACGCCCTCCCTGCTGTCATCCACCTGTTGGCTCATCATCCTGACTTCAAGCCAAAGGAACATGATTCATTGGTTAAGTTTAAAGAGTAAGTTTTACTGAACCTTGAGAATTACAGCACCTCAGAGTATAGACCCTTGCATTTGACATCAAAGCAGCTCAATTTGGAAGACAAAACAATAGGCTTTTTAAATCTCCTGAGAATTGGAAAACTATTGTTATGTCCTCCATATTGAGCTGCATTCTGACGTGCTGCAAGGGACTGTCTATTGGAATACCATATTTGTTGCACTTTTAAACAAAACAAGCTATRTGAGTAGAAAACTCTTTGACAGTAACCGATCAAGGGGATGTTCACAGATATTCACACAGTACAGTACTGTATATCACAGTATACCACTACACTGATGTTGTTCCTCTTACGCAGTAAGCTCATTTATTCTTTGGCTCACTTTTTATTAATGGAATCATTTTCTTCTCAGTTATTTGTGGTTCTTCATGGAGCCTATTTTGTCCAACAAGACAGAGAATGCTGGGCTCTTGAAGAAGATTGTAGAGACCATCAAGCAAACTAAAGATGCACAAAACCCCGATGATCAAGATGCCAATGAGGTATAGAAATAAATAATGTAGTTATTTCTTGTTTAATTTGAGATTTTTATCATTAATTGTTTTTGTTTTTTTCATTGTTGCAGGCATTGTATACTGTATGTGATCTTACCTATGGACTTATCATAAACAAGGTTTGTTTATTTATTTATCCATTAATTCATGCCTTCCTTCCATCACACCACATCCATTCACTTTTACCCATTTATTATACAAATAAAACTATTTACCTATCTATCCATTAGTTTTATCTATCTCATTTTWTCTTTTATTCATCCATCCATCAGTGCCTTCCATCTGTCCCATGCATTTGCATATTCATTTATTCATTCATTAGACAACTATAACAATTTGCCTTTCCATCCATCCATTGATTGTCAGTCATTTATCCCAACTTTTATTSATTCATTCTTCCTACCATTCATTCACATTTATTTCTCATCATAGGCAAGTGGTCTGGTAATGGAGGAGTTTCCAGGTAATCCTGTCTTGCCTAAAAAGATGTTTCTTCCAGGAAAAATGGTGAGTTAAGTACTACTCGTCGACCAGTAAATCATTCCTCTACTTATTATTTATTTACCCCTAACCATCTGCATTGTATTTCTTCAGGATGTGCCAAACACTAAGTCATATCTGCCACCAGGATTCGTGTTCTTTCATGGCAAGGTAAACACTACAAAAAATACTATACACTTATTGCAGATAATTGAGATAATAATGATATTGTAAACTGTGTTATTTTTACAGCAAAGAAAAGCTGTCCCTTCAGAATCAGCCAAGTTATCAACCTCCAACAACAAAGGCAAGAAGACTGCAGAACCGAAGAGTAAAAAAACAGCTACTAAAGGRTCAGTCAAGTAAGTCTAATGTCGTAATAAATGCTTCTTCAACCAAATGTGTCGTATCAGTARTACACCTGCCACCTCTTTGGTGGGGTGTGAGTTTGCCGAGCATTTTACTTGACTTAAGGTTTTCCATGCATGGTTTATAGTTACCCGACTTAAATAAGATTAGAGATCAGTGTCTCCAACATTGTAAGCATTCATTCTATTGCCAGTCCTAATGTTATAGTTCTGCGCTATCAATTTGTACAGGAATTCTAAGAAGACTTTTAAAGAAATGGCCAACAAAATTGATGTTGATGATGATGACAGCATTAGTGAGGCTACAGACGATACAGTGGAGAGTGGGCCAGACAAGAACACAAGGTTAGCAATGACGATGATCGGGTGGTCATAATGGTTTGGATAYGGGTGTTGATAATGATGGTGGTGACACGAGTGAAGCGTTAGTAATGACGATGATCGAGTGGTCAGTAGTGGCGATGGTTAAGAAGATGATACTGTAATCTTGGCACCCAATGAGGCTTCTACTTATGTTAAAAAAGTATGCGGCTTAGATGATGATGATGGTGATGATGATAATGATGATGGTAATGATGATGATGATGATGGTAATAATGATGATGATGGTAATAATGATGATGCATGATGATGATGATGGCGGTAGCGGTGGCGGCGGTAATGGTTAGGATTGGAATATTTTTTATTCACATGCAAAGTCCTATAAAAAAATTTGTTTCTTATTTGTTTTAAGGAAAAGATCAAGAACTGCTACCTCGACCCAGCAAAAACCGCAAACAAAAAAATCAAAATTAACAGAAGAGGAAACGGGAAGCGAGAAAGCTGAATCTACTGTTTCCGGTGAAGACGATGATTCAGGACCCGTAGAGGATCAGCCAGAAATAACAAAGAAAACAGAAACGAGTAATGCTGTTAAAACAAATGAAAAAAAGAAGCCATCTAAAACACCCTCCTCGCCGGCACCGGGGACCAGATCCTCACGTCGTCTTGCTGGGAAGGATAAAGAAGAAAGCATTCCTGCTACAGACACTACAAGTAGAGGGAAAACTGTGCCCTCCCCGGTCAAGCAGTCTCCGAGAAAAGATAGCACTAATAAGACTGCAAGTAGCCGATCATCACCCAGGAAGAATCAAAAACCATCGCACAATAAAAGATCGCCTTTTAAAATGGACTCACCCATCAAAACTACCAAAACGTGAGTAACCAAAAAGATTACTAGTAACGCTTTGGCACTCCTTTATTGARGTGTCTTGTTTTATTTGTTAGAATAATGAAGATTCCTAAAAGACTTAAATCAGAACTGGATACCTTACCAGAAGATGAACCCTCGGACAGTGACAGTGAAATACTTAAAACACCTCTCGCTTCAAGGTATCTACACAAGTACTTAACTATAGTAATGTTGCTAACACGATGGAATTTGCGATACACTTTTAGTAGAATATTCATGACTTAAAAATACTGTTATGCTTATTATAGGAGAACCAAACGAAAACCAGAAGTCAATGGAATATCATCGCCTTCAAAGAAACGAAAAACACAAGTATGTAAAAAAATTTTAGATATAGACTCTAGCCAAATCCCCCTCCCTCGGCGTATCTCAGGCGCGCGACTAAATAGTGTAAGCTTTGACGTAACATGAATTGAACACCTTTCTTCCAATTTATAGGAACCTAAACCAAGTCCTTCGAAGAAACAGAAAACTTTGGTAGCAAGTCCATCAAAGAAACCAAAGAATGTTACAAAAAGCCCTTCCAAGAAACAATCTAGTCCTTCCAAGAAGAGAACTTCGCCAGTCTCAAGTCCTGCCAAGAAGAGAACTACGCAAGTATCAAGTCCTTCCAAGAAAAGAACGACGCCAGCCTCAAGTCCTTCCAAGAAAAGAACGACGCCAGCCTCAAGTCCTTCCAAGAAAAGAACGATGCCAGCATCAAGTCCTGCAAAAAAACCTACACAGCATGCTGCATTAAATGTAAGCATAAACTGTGAAATACATGCAAAGTTTTCATTTTCCACTGACGTTTTTCCTTCTTTACTAGGTGAAAAGAAAAAGTACAAGAAGAAGATGAAAATAATTCGATCCTGGAGGATCTTTAACATCGCAAAGCTGTATGCTATTCATTTTCTTTTATTCTACTTTATTCTTAAAGAATATAGTGCAAAAAAGGTGGAAAATGTCAGTTGTTTATTCTATTTCATTGTACTTCAGTAGAGGTCTTAGAATGCACTTTGCAGTAAGCCTAACCTTACATACCATCCACGACTTCATCTTAACAATCCTGATATTATTTTGTAGCCAATCGAATTACACTACACAAGACAACTCCAGGCGTCTGGACTTTTTTATTCCATCAAACAAAAAGTAAAAATTACTGCCTCAAATGTATGGTATACATCAGCCGCAGTTGACTTGAAGGCGTAATTCAGAAAATGGGAGTTACCATTTCTGTATTCTTCTCATTATCGTTCGTTCTCCTTTGTTCGTTTCATTTTGCATATCTTTAAGACGACTAAGAACAGAGTTATTCTCTGCTTGTAAATAATATTTCTTAGTAAGTCAGTGGGATATTCCACTCTTATATTCAGATTTCGAAACATTGTCCATTTCAAGATTTTAGGAGATTTTTCCACATGTTGTGGGATCATGAATAATCTCGGATTTCTCCGACGAGGAATGATTCAACAAGACACAGTATTTTAGAACAGAACGACTGTTTATGATGATATAGTTATAGTTTGATACGGAGAATTTTAAGWGTACAGGCGTTGTTCAATATTTTACCTGTAAAGATCTCCATATTAATGAATAAAGGTTTTTAAACTTTGAAAATGGAGTCGTTTGTGCGTTGTGAAATCTTATTATGCGTCACTTCCTGTGCTTACAGGGAGCTGCAAATTTTWAGATAGCTGGTTTTCAACGAGGAGAACCAAGCATGCGACCATTATTTTTACGCGCCCAGTAAATGCCGGAGTGAGAATGCAATTAACCTCTGGGCCGCAGGGTAGAGAGGAGGTGTAGCGACAAAATGAGTTATGGGTTTCCTGTGTTACGGAAAAGGCCAGGTTACTCAAACCAAGATGGCTACCTTATCACACGGAGCAAGGAAGTTCTACGAAGTTCCAGGCGTTTATTTAGCGACAAAAAAGAAAGAAAATCAATTATCTCAAGATAAACCAATAGAGGACTTATTAAAGTATATCAATGATAGCTGTATTGGTAACGAAACTACGTTTAGTGGGCCGTATGGTCCTCGCAAAGGTAAACTAAAGCAATAATATTTTGTTTATCATTTCATGCTGTTTAATTATTTTTTTATAAAATTGTTATGATACGTCTTTT